GCCCCCGCGATGGTGCCCGCCAGCCCCGGGTTGCACAGCAGCAGCCACCGTCGGGGCGTGATGCCATTTGTCTTATTCTGGAACTTCTCGGGCTCCAGCTCATAAAAATCCTTAAAGCTGCAAACGTAGAAAGCGCATCTGTCGTAAATGCTGAGCATCGAGCCACATGAGCCCGAGATCTAGGGACTGTTCAAGGAGACCCCTGGGAGCTACAGCTGATCTTCTGCCCCTTTCTGAACCATGCAGAGCACGTTGCCCTGTGCTCCAGGGACAGTGAGATGACCCCGCCTATGGTGTGGCCTGGAGCTCTCGCCCCATGGTGTGGGACCTGGCCATTTCCCAGAGCTGTCTATGCAGAAAGGTCCCAGTCGTGATAGTACAGGTCATGTGGGCGACAGCTCATTAACGGGGCTTGGGCTCCTCACCTGTAACTGGGGACACACCCACCCGGAAGTTTGCAGTGGGGCTAACAGTGTCACACAAAGTGCTGTCCCGCATGGGGACGTTGAAGCCCCGCGCCCACCCTAGGTGTCCTGGGGCTCGCGGTCGGCGCTTAGCAGGGATCTGGAGACAGAACCGAGGGAAGGGACTGCCCGCCAAGAGGAGAGCAGAGAGTTGTGCCTGAGGCATCTGAGGCCAGAAGCAGGAGCATCTGGGCCTGAGAGAGCAGGAGCACAGGGAGAGCGGCTGGTGGAAGGACAGCGAGCGGCCGCTCCGGCGTGGCCCCCAGGGAGGACCTTCCACCCGTGGACTGGTCAGCGTGGCAGTAAACGGTGCGACCCCAGAGGGCGCTGCAGCTCCCTATCTTGGGCCGGCAGTGATGGCGTATGCGGCCCGACCAGGCTATCCTGGGCAGCTAGGGACAGGTTTGGCATCGGGAAGCAGTGACCCCAGCCAGGAGATGCTCACTCACACAGACTGCTTCACAATCTCTGAGTGGATCCTGGCGACCCCGTTGACCGCGTGGGACCCAATCACACACAGATGGGCCATGTTGATCCGCTTGCAGTCGCCTTCCTCAATCACAGACATCCTCCTGAGGCGGTCCACATCCCCCGGAAACAAGGCGGCCACATGCTGGTGCCAAGAGAGGGTGTCGGCAGGGCTACAGCCCTCAGTGCCACCTGCGAGTTCTGCCGCCCAGCCCTGCACCCTGCACACGCCTGACACCCCGTCCTGGGAGGAAGCTCAGCCCACGTGCCCTGCCCAGGAGAGGCCAGGACCAGCCCCAATACCACGGATCACCAGGCCTGAGGGAGATGGGTACCAGCAGGTGGACACGCTGGTCCATTTACACGGAGGAGTGGGGACAGCTGTGCCCTGAATCTGGGCATTTTCACCAGTGGGAACAGCTACTTTTCCACCAAAAGGTTAAAAACAACTATGATTCCACCTGAATGCCAAGTCTCCTGCTTAGGCCCCATCATGCTCTGAGGTCACAGGGAAAAGACAGATGACCACCAAATCTGCAGTGCCCCCATGCTGCCACATACCCAGGGGACAAAGGACTGGGACATTCCAGGGAAACACACTTACATCCAAAGCCCACTAGAGATGGGGACAATAGGACGTTTAAAAAGACCTAAATCTACAACTCCCTCGTACGGAGCGAAGGGCAGGCCTGGGGGTGGACCATGACCTTTGCCAGGTGACAGCCCCGGGCTCTGCCTGTTCTCTGCTGGGCAGGGGCTATGCCATCGGAGTAAGGCCCCTCCTCTCCCTGGCCAGGTACAGCCCATGATGCAGTGCAGCTGCCATGCCCACAGCCTCACCCTCGCCCATGCCCGCCACGGCCACGCCCGCCACGGCCATGCTCACATCCAGGTGCCTCTGGTTGATGGCGTAGATGATGTCCAGGTGCCGCGGCAGCAGCTTCTCGAACATGGACACGGGCCAGCGCTCCAGGGCCTCGGGCAGCACGGTGTGGTTGGTGTAGGCACAGGTCTTCTTCGTGATTTCCCAGGCCTGCACCGTGCAGAGTGGGTCAGGGTGTTTGTTCTGCTTCGTTTCAAACAGGTAGCTCTCTGGCCAGATGCCTAAGCCAGAGGTTTACAGGCCGACCCTGGGGCCCACAGCTCTTGCCTGCTCCGGTGGACACCCAGGTTTACAGGCAGACCCTGGGGCCCACAGCTCTTGCCTGCTCCTGGGGCTTGTCTGGGGCCTCCTCAGTCTACAGTTCACTGGCACAGCCCGTGGGAGCCTCCCGTCCTGACCAGGTGGGAGCACGCATATGATGGGGTGACCTCAGCCCACCCCCTGCAGGACTGCTGCCAGCCCTCCATCCATGAGCCATGTCTCCTCGGTGACTCGGACTGCAGGGCAGCATCCTACTTCTTTCCACTACACTGTCCTGGCAGCGCCATGCAGAGGACACTGCCCCCTGCTGGCCAGGACCACGGGACCCATGATGTGGCCACACCCCCCGACCAGTGGGAGCTGATTTCTACAGAACACAGTTACAAAAATTCTCCTATGGTCTTACATGTCAATTTAGTTAAAGGTGTTGATAGAGTAGGAAAACTCTGCTATACTAACAGACCTGGAACCAAAATAAGTTAGAAACAAGTCCACGGACAAGGAACTTGTTTGTTTCCGAGAGAGAGATTTTTGCTATAAGGTACGTGTGCTCACCAGAGAAACAGAGAGAGAGAAAGCAAGAAATTGTCCCCCCAGGGGAGGTATGGGGGGGTGGCCATGCCGCAATCCCTTCTTCTCCATTCTCCTCTTGGAATTTTGGCCATGCACACACTTATGCCTTGTGTGTTTCAAGCCACGGGTCCAGGACTTGAACCACAGCTGGCCATGTGGGAGTCCAGAACCCCTATTCCACCTGCTGGCCTTAGACCCTGTATTTCTTAAAAATCAGCTCTTCGGGGGCTGGCAGGTGGTGTGGTGGTTAAGGGTGCTGGACTCCCACATGGTTGACCATGGCTTAAGTCCCGGACTGGCAGCTTGCTTTCTCGCTTTTCTCTTTCTTTCTCTCTCTCATTCTGCCCCTCTCTGGCCAAACTGAAATAAATAAAGTTAAATGAAGTAATTCTTTAAAAAAAATTAAAATGAGCACTTTGATATTTCTTTGTTTTGTCAAACTTCAAGAAGGAGAACACATACAAGAAGCACAAGAAGTGTCAAAGCCCATCCTTGTCTCTCTGTCCCCTGGAGCCTTACCCTGCTTTCCCATCCACAGAATGTCTATCTCCTGCAG